TCTGCTTTGTGTTTTTCGATAACGATGTCTTTCTACAACAAGAAGTTTTTTTTTTAATTCTTCCAATCTGCGTCCAAGTCTCGCGGATGATCGATTTATTTCGACTAAAATTCAATTCGTAGGCTCTGATAAGTGTTAAGAGCCAACCCGTTTACTCTAAATCCAAATTCCCACAAGGCATTATTGTTGCCAATCAATACCCTGAATTCTGCAGTGATTTTTAAGGGCGTAGTCCCGGGATTTTTGGGCGGGGGGTTGAACTGCTATACTTTAAAGCCCTACAAATGACATACGCTACGAAGAGGTTTCAGAATAAAAGTGCATGATTCTGTTTCTCAGATCACGTTGCATAGTTTTCCGTTCGTAAGTACAATCGAATTTTTGACGTAAATACGTCTATAAGGAAGGGTCATTCGGCAAAAAAGGGGAACGAAAAAGAGTAACCTAGTTACCTAGGAAATGTCGTGTTTACTCGGCATTGTTGTTACCTATAAAACATTACCTTACATTACCTTACCTTATATTACATTACTTTACATTACATTCATCTACCACAGGCCCATTTTAATCGTAACTAATTCAAGTTAAATAAGCAAAGTCTTAATTAAACTTTACTCAATTGTAAAACATGTATAAAGGAAATATTTAGAATAAAGCCAATATATAAACTTCCTTTCCGTATAGACGTATTTACGTCAAATTCTCCGGAACCGTGGTTCCACTGACAATTTTTTTTGACGAAATCCATGCACATAAACATTATTTACATCTGGTTTAGAATAAAATATCGCTGCAGATGTTAAAACTTTTCGTTAGCCTTAAATTGGCCGATACTTGCCTCGAAATGACCAGTGCCGCGTCACTCATCCAGCAGTTGGTCAGCGCAAACTACTTCAGAACGATTTTAACCTAATTAGTGTCGGTACTTTAGAATCTACTCACCCATTTGACGGCGTCCTGGTGCACAGAACACACTGCACTATTACAATTCCACCGACCGGAGCACAACTGTCAGTGTGCAATTAGCGGACTCAGGTGAGCCAGCCCACTCGTGTCCATGCGGACGGAGCTCTGGCCTTGCGACTAGCGTCCTCTGTTGCTACGAGACACATCGCCTCTCAAGTGACCGTCACACCTTCGTATAAGGGAGGTCCTCCGTTCGATACCGCCTATTCTGATAAGTTTCTTGGTTGTATTCAGTCTCTGCTGCAGAGAACTGGGAGTTTACTTCGAAAAGGCAATGAATGGCTAATTCCTTCCTAATTCGTCCGAATTCATTATGAGAAATGAAACCAACGCTCGAGTCCGTAGAACTTATTAGTTATTGTCTTGGTATCGTGCTGCCAAAGAAATGAATAAAGACGTCTTGCAAAACACTGAGAAAATCACGTAACATTATTAATTTATTTATTTGTAGTGTTCTGTCTGACGATAGGTCCATATGAACAGGATCCTTCCTTCCTTTTCTCGGACTGGGACCTGTTCATGTACGTTCTTGGCAGATGATCCAGACGTGGTTTGCCATTGCCTTCTTCTGTGTGTGAATGGGGTAATTGTTGGGATGCCACGGAGAAACCGGGGAAGCCCCCGGAGGAAAACTCCGTGTTGCCTAGACCACGGCCTTGCCCAACACAAGTTATAAATTCGGGCACCGCCGGGAATCGAACCCGAGACCCCAGGATTACAAGGCCAGCGTTCTAACCGCTAGACCACCGTGGCAGGCAACATTATTAATAATGATCCAAAATAATTCCATTGGCTAATAGAGTCAGCCTCGCCAGAGGAATGTCGGATAAAATTTTGTAGGGAGATGACAAAAGGCAGATTCCTCGACAATTATTTCTATCAGCTTTATTACCCTTCGTATGAATTGTTTATAATAATACGAGATTCCTTCCTTCGCTGTGGTACTTTTTACTTTATTCTATTTAGAGAAAATAAGGTCGTGTATCTCGAGACGCAACGTTTCGCCTCCTGCCTTGATCAAGTCGGCCAGTACCCGGGGATTTATACTTTTCCAACTTCTCAATAACAGTCTCCACTTCGATGATTCTAGGCTCTGACACTAATGTGTCATCCGTTTGTATATATCTATGTGCGTAATGTCATGAACCCCGTTAACATTTAACACCTTGTTAAAGAGATGTTTCCACCTGTTCAAAACCTTGTCAGGATCTACGAGCAGATAACTATTCCCATCTTTGGTAATATTAACTCTAGGTTGCCAACATTTTCTTAAATTAATTTATTCTTCTGTATAAATCACTAATATTTTTGTTTTAAGTTCATTAATTTTCTTGCTAAATGTTTTGCTGGTTTCACGTCTTAAATTCTGCAGATTATCTCCATTGATTTGGCATGAGTTTTGAAACCAATATAATTTAGCCTGATTCTGTTTTCGTCTATCAACTTTGAGCACTCATCATCAAACCATGGTTTACTATGATTTCGTTTGTGATATCCTAGCTTACCATTGGCTGAGGTCTTGATATTGTCCCTAATATTAATATTTCCCAACTACTATTAATATCCAAACTGTCATCCAAGTTCTCTAAAGCCACAAATCTATTGGAGATTTCTAACTGGTACTTTTCCTTAACTTCTACGTTACTGAGTTTCTTCAAATCAAATCTTTATAAATCAAACTTTTGCCTTTAAAATTGGCGTGTCGTCTTTTGCATATTAAAACATTATCTGATTACGTGTGACTCCATCAATAGAAGTTCAAGTCTGTTTGTGAATGTCACGGTGTGGGAGTGTTGTGCTCTTGTGAATTAGATTTTTTGAGATTCATTTTTGAACCCCGCGTCACAAAAATACAAGCTTCAATGTCGTTCCAGTGGCTTCTGACTTCAATCTGCTGGAATATTTTCATTTGTTATGGGATCAACGACGTCTTTTGATTATTGAATTCTTAATTTATCTCTTAAAAATAGAAAAAATACATCATGGCGTTTTATTTTGGTAAATGAGAAATCTCTCCCTGGATTTCGAAATATTTTTCATCTCGCAGGTAAAAATATACTTTGCCACGAATTTACGTGTTCTGTAACCTGCCATCCGCATTGTACTCATGAAATGTAGTTAATGGTTCATGCTCTATGATTCCGATAATCACGTCTGAATTGATGTTTTAATTTACTAAATAAAATATATATGTTTGTGTGTTGTGTACGTTTGGTAATTTTACTCCGTGACTGGCGGGCACATCATCACGAAATTTATCTAAATAGGTCGTTTTAGCTGTTTGATGTTTACACAATTTTATATTAAATAGGATTGGGATGTACATTCTCTACTATGTAGTACAGAAAACTCCCAACAGAATTTTTGTAGCAGAACATTTCTGTTTCAGCTTACGACGTTGTGATATAAAGTTCCATTTTTGGGATATAAATCATCATTTATATGTATATGATAGCAACAACGATGGATCTGTGAGTTCCTCACAATAATGTTGCTTTTGTCTTACGTATTGTTTGGTGCCAAGAACATGGGACAGAACTCATTTCTTTTAAGTCATTTCTGACGGAACGGGAATTCTCTAAAAAATTACAAAGATAAGATTACGCTACACTAATAATGGAACCACCATAGTTAAACCAGTCAAGAGAACGAGAATGCCAGTCAGTGTTCAGAATCAAATATGTAGCTGCTTCCAGATGGGTTCCCAAAGAAAGCTATGTTGTTCTTGACTAGTGACATCTTTCGTACGCAGCGTGTACTTCTATTGTGTTTCCTTCAAGTAACTCCCGACAGATACGGATAGGTGTCAGGAGTGTTTGTTGCTCCTTCCGAATATTAAATATAATTGAGTGCGCTCGGGTAACCACACCCCAACCAATCTTTGGCCCGCGAGCATGGGACAAGTGATGTAACAGTTTTTCAAGTTCTGTCTGAAATGGTATATAATATTGTTCTAGCGCGATGTTCCAGAACCAGGATTTTTAAAGCGACTGTATTTACACAGAAGACGGGCATTCAAGCTGCGAAATACCGAGGCACTGCGACGAGAATTTCTTGTCCGGGAAAACTACAAAAGCCACTTCCGTTCTGTTGCAGGAAGTGTATTGTAACGATGTTTCGGTTGTGAAACAGACGTCCATTAAAACTTCAAATTATGCATTGATATTACACATACTTCAAAGATTCTTTAATTTTTGCACAAGAAAACATGTTAAATCCAGCAAAATAATATTAATACCTCATTGAATATGGGTACACTGCTACACATAACGTTGAGTTTGATGGCGTGTGAGCGGGAAACCCATTTGTCCCAAGTTGCACCATGTGTGGGCCAGAAGTCTGGAGAGATAAACAGACCTTCCCTACGTCGTGTGACGTGATGTAAGGTAAGTGGAATACAAGCACACAACAGATGAAACACTCTGGGGCGGTCAGACATTCTCCGCCTGAGAGATGGGATACAACAAATGAATATCTAGAACCAGACGTCATTCTGTTGCTAAACAGGGCTTTATGAATACTGGCGGCGTAGCAGGGGGGGGAAATGGAATTCCACCCAAACCCTACACACTACTTCTGTTGTTAAGAGTTCTCACGGTCGTGTATAGTCGGCGCTGTAGTTTTTGGCCGGTGGAGAAGCTGGCGGAGCTGGCGGACGGGCCTAGTCTGTGTACCTGAGGTGGCACGGTCAGTGCATTTCTTTTGTTTGGGCGTGCAGACAGCATTATACTATCTCAAAGAGACTCGCTCCTAGCCTTTCCCTTGAAAATTCCAAGCTAGCGGAGCTGGCGGACGGGCCTAGTCTGTGTACCTGAGGTGGCACGGTCAGTGCATTTCTTTTGTTTGGGCGTGCAGACAGCATTATACTATCTCAAAGAGACTCGCTCCTAGCCTTTCCCTTGAAAATTCCAAGCTAGCGGAGCTGGCGGACGGGCCTAGTCTGTGTACCTGAGGTGGCACGGTCAGTGCATTTCTTTTGTTTGGGCGTGCAGACAGCATTATACTATCTCAAAGAGACTCGCTCCTAGCCTTTCCCTTGAAAATTCCAAGCTAGCGGAGCTGGCGGACGGGCCTAGTCTGTGTACCTGAGGTGGCACGGTCAGTGCATTTCTTTTGTTTGGGCGTGCAGACAGCATTATACTATCTCAAAGAGACTCGCTCCTAGCCTTTCCCTTGAAAATTCCAAGCTAGCGGAGCTGGCGGACGGGCCTAGTCTGTGTACCTGAGGTGGCACGGTCAGTGCATTTCTTTTGTTTGGGCGTGCAGACAGCATTATACTATCTCAAAGAGACTCGCTCCTAGCCTTTCCCTTGAAAATTCCAAGCTAGCGGAGCTGGCGGACGGGCCTAGTCTGTGTACCTGAGGTGGCACGGTCAGTGCATTTCTTTTGTTTGGGCGTGCAGACAGCATTATACTATCTCAAAGAGACTCGCTCCTAGCCTTTCCCTTGAAAATTCCAAGCTAGCGGAGCTGGCGGACGGGCCTAGTCTGTGTACCTGAGGTGGCACGGTCAGTGCATTTCTTTTGTTTGGGCGTGCAGACAGCATTATACTATCTCAAAGAGACTCGCTCCTAGCCTTTCCCTTGAAAATTCCAAGCTAGCGGAGCTGGCGGACGGGCCTAGTCTGTGTACCTGAGGTGGCACGGTCAGTGCATTTCTTTTGTTTGGGCGTGCAGACAGCATTATACTATCTCAAAGAGACTCGCTCCTAGCCTTTCCCTTGAAAATTCCAAGCTAGCGGAGCTGGCGGACGGGCCTAGTCTGTGTACCTGAGGTGGCACGGTCAGTGCATTTCTTTTGTTTGGGCGTGCAGACAGCATTATACTATCTCAAAGAGACTCGCTCCTAGCCTTTCCCTTGAAAATTCCAAGCTAGCGGAGCTGGCGGACGGGCCTAGTCTGTGTACCTGAGGTGGCACGGTCAGTGCATTTCTTTTGTTTGGGCGTGCAGACAGCATTATACTATCTCAAAGAGACTCGCTCCTAGCCTTTCCCTTGAAAATTCCAAGCTAGCGGAGCTGGCGGACGGGCCTAGTCTGTGTACCTGAGGTGGCACGGTCAGTGCATTTCTTTTGTTTGGGCGTGCAGACAGCATTATACTATCTCAAAGAGACTCGCTCCTAGCCTTTCCCTTGAAAATTCCAAGCTAGCGGAGCTGGCGGACGGGCCTAGTCTGTGTACCTGAGGTGGCACGGTCAGTGCATTTCTTTTGTTTGGGCGTGCAGACAGCATTATACTATCTCAAAGAGACTCGCTCCTAGCCTTTCCCTTGAAAATTCCAAGCTAGCGGAGCTGGCGGACGGGCCTAGTCTGTGTACCTGAGGTGGCACGGTCAGTGCATTTCTTTTGTTTGGGCGTGCAGACAGCATTATACTATCTCAAAGAGACTCGCTCCTAGCCTTTCCCTTGAAAATTCCA